GTGAACAACAGTGAGAGGAGAAAATCTGACGAGACTATTCAGAAACAGCATTGCATGGGGTAGATATAGCATATTGGCGCTTTATAAATATATTGAGCATCTCATTTGTAAGGCGCTTTGCTTGTCAGACATCATGTTAAGGCTGAGAAACAAAGTACATTACACAGTTGCTTTATAAATGCAATGGCATGAAGAAATAGCAGGAAAGATGCAGTACGCAACATAAATCTGCTCAATGCATGTTTATACATAAGCTCCTTAGTATCTGTAAATGAGATCACATAATCCACTGAAAGCAGCAGTTAATGAAACATCAGAAGATCCATGCCATTCTTTTCTGCTATACTTCTTCCAAACGGTTTTGTTTGTAAATTGCTACTAGAGATGCACATGAATGTCAGACAACCTCCATTTGACAGCCATAATTTAGCATTTTGTTCCATGAAACATTCATAAATGTATAAAAAATGATTTGTCATGTATAGAGTAGTCTTAGGAAAATTGTATGATAATAAATGTTGTTTAAAATTTACTACTTTAATATTATTATAAATATCCTTTGGAGCTGAATACACAGGTGGACTTCCATAGAGCAGGTTAACAGTGATCCTGAGCCTAATAATATTCTGGTTTTATTCTAAGTCTGCTTTAATTATGAACATCAAGGTTCTTTTAATTCGACTTTGTCAAACCCCATTTGTAAACTCCTGCAAACAAATACTATCTATTAACACTGTGTGAGACAAAATATATTTGTTTCCATTTGATATCCTGAGGTAATAATAAGGTTTGCTGTTTTGTCACCTCTGATTTGTATGTGTGTTTAACACTCTCTAATGTTTTTTGATGTTTTGTGTAAAAATGTTTTGAAAATAATTATTTTTTTCAAAGTCAGGGTGACATCTGTGCAGCACTGGATCAATTCCCAACAAGAGCATCTGCATAGTGTTTATATGTTCTCTTAATGTTTGTATGGGTTTTTCTGTGTACTACTGTTTCTTTACACAAGCCAACAAAATGTATTTGTAGGTTAATTAGCTTTTCACTTGAATTGTCCCTATTGTACCTCTGTGTGGCCATGTGATCTCTCCTCACATTATTCTGTATTTGCAGCCTTTCTTCTGAAAGCTAAAGTGGACAGTACTCAGAACCAAGAAGACACACTGACCAGCATATTTAAAGGTATAACTACAGAGTCCTACAGAGTACTACCTCCATTCTCACTCGAAAATGAACAAACGCCCAGGCCCAGATGGATACTCCACCATATATTACAAAACATTTACAGAATTACAGAATAATTTCCGACCAGAAACACTGACAGATCTCATATGCATGCTGCCAAAACCACATTCGGATGACTACCTGGATTAATTACCATCCAATTTCCCAGTTACATCTGGACATCAAGCTCTTGGCCACACCCTCGACACAACTGACTTGTTAGAGATATGGCAAGCTACTAAGGCCTTCTCACCCAATGTAGTTGTGGTAGAGGCCAACTATAAAATTCTAGCTAGATGGTACCTAGTACCTGCCAGAATTGCAAAATTTACACCTGACAGCTCAGCTCTGTTTTCATAGCTGCTCAGAAACCGGGCACTCACATGCATATTTGGTGAGCTTGCCCAGTCGTCCAAGATTTCTGGAAGGCAATCTTTGCACTATGCATGGTGCTGTTTGAGGGACCCCTCCCACAGGGCCTGACCAACACTCTCCTCAATCTGAAGCCAACGTCTCTGCTGTGCAGAAAATGCAAGCTTTTTATCCAGCTTTTAACAGCCTCAAAGCAGACAATTGCCAAGGCGCGGAAATCTTCCTCTTTGATTTTGGTTGAGACTAAACATAGAATGCACCTGTAAAGGAAATTTGTAAATTCTGTATAAAATTGTATTCTATTTTGTATGCTTTGCCTATGTATTGCACTCTGCACTCATTGTGCACACGGCATTAATAATGTTTTCATTATGCTTTCATTCCTTCAAGTACTGATTAGAAATTTGCCTGCCCATGTAATGCCCCCTGTTTACTACAAAAGTACAACTGTAATATTAATGTGATAACTACGTAATCATGTGTATAAAAAAATTTAAAATGCACTGAATAAACAGACAAGTGATTTGGAAAGATGCTATGTGTATCTTTTTGTGTCTGTTCCCTATATCAGTAGTTATTATTAATTTAGAATCACAAATCAATATGAGGATAGGAGTTGCCGATTTATACAATTTTGGAAGCCCTGGAAAAGGCTATTTACACCATTACCATGGCTGAGCATAAGTTTTACTAGCTGGCTCCACCGGGTACCTTTACAATTACAGCCCACTTAACTCTCACCAATCTCACATACTGTCTTTGTCTCTCCCAGGCCAAACCATACCATGATTAATACCGGGGCTGTGGATCGGAATCCCTTAATGACTCCTGACCTGAGGTTTCCCCAGACCTTAATATCCTAGCCTTTTTTTTCTTGATTTTTTTTTTTCTTAGGCTGCACAGCTGATACTTCTATGAAGCACTGTGACACTTATTGCGCTATACCGGTTGATGTTTTTTGTACACCTCTGTATATTGCACACACCTACACTAATGTAGTGGCCTGTATCTACTTGTTCATTCTGTAACATGTTTTCTACTAACAGAATTAATAATTTGAACAAGAAAACAGTACCCAGTGGAAACCCACACAGGCACAGGGAGAACATGTAAACTCCAGGCAGGTAGTGCTGTGATTGGGATTCAAACCAACAACCCCAATGCTGCCAGGCGGAAGCATGGATGGAGCCTGATAGAGAACTGAAAGACTAGTTCCCCATCAGGTCCACCTTTATTTTTGATTGACAGTGGATGGATTTGGTTGGATTTTAAATCCACTATTGTACTGAATAGCAGCTGTGGATCCACCCACTGCAATGGGCTGTCAGTCAACAGCAAAGCAGACAAGTCTCTGGAAGCTCTGCCCGCTGCACTAAAAAATTGTTTGTCATGTGTCTGTAAGTGTGGCAGATGCAATGACTGGGGAGTGTACAGTGACTGCGGAGTGTACAGTGTTGAGCTTTGACAGGTTCATGTACTGGTCTCTGACAGGTACAAGAATTGGGTGCAAGTAGTGACAAATTTGGTGTGACAGCCTAACAGGATTCTATAGGGTATCTATGACACATTTTATGAATTCCATCCATTGTGTTTCTTTTAAAACAACTACTGTAATGCTGCTGTAGATAAAAAATGCCAATCTATCGTTTGTTCCTTTTTGTAATGATGCTAAGCCTAAATTTATTGTACAGTGTATATTGAAGTTATTTACAAATAAAATAAAGAATGTGTTTAATTTTGTGTATCCTTTTAAATGCTAAGTTCACCTTTTATTAAATTTGATTTTGCAGGTAAAAAAAATGTGCATTTATTATTTTTTACAATGGAGTTTTACAATGAGTCTTGCATTGCACCCTTGATCTGCAGATCGTGGGAGCAATGTCAGGCTCCCTCAGACAGTCAGTGCAGCTATCTGCCTGTACCTCCCGTATGAGCAGACAGTTACTGGAGAGCGGGTAGAATCTATGAACTACGAGGGTGTTCATCAACACCAAGATGGCAAACGGTACTTGTAGTTCATTTATTCACAGAACAGAATGAAGTGGCTGTGTGGGGACAGCTGTTTTTAAATTGTGGCAGTGGGTGTGGAGAGAGGATTCCCACCCACTGTCACAGTGGGGGATTGGGGAGAGGTGCAGGGCTAATGTGTTCCTGAGGGTAATATAGGAGTAATATGTAAAATGTTACTAAAGGTGAACTTTTCTTTTAAATGCCGGATTAAAAAAAAATTAACACAATGAATACAATGAGAAAAACGTCTAATTGTGAATGGTTAAACAATTAAAAATCTGCAAACAAATTAACAAAGTAATAAATAAATTAAATGTTCAACTTATATTAGCCATTTTAGTACATTGAGCCCACTGAAATAAACATTCCCCAGTAAACTATTTGTTTAAATTCTTATCACAGTGCTTGCAGTTTACAGCTTTCACTGCTGTATGCTCCTGTTCCCTCTGTGCTCCTTCCCTAAACTTATAGTCCTCATATGAAGGAATAAACATTAGACAGTGCAATCTGTAAGCAATCTTTTAGCTTGAAGAAGGGGAGGAAGAGAAAGGAACAGGGCCTTGCCGTCAAGGGCTAGACACAACCTTGGTCCCTGCATGCAAGGGTGGCTTTATAGGATGCTGGAAGAGAAAGGAACCACCCTAAAACAGGAAACCTGGGGCAGTGGCCATGGCACCAGACTTAACTGGAATGCAGGCAAAGATTAAAAGATAAAGAAGCTGCATACCAGGGGTGAACTGACAACTCATGGGGCCCCCGGGCAATAGGGGATCATGGGGCCCCTGTGTCCTTGCCCACAACCAAAAAAGCCTATGAAAAAGCCAATGAAAGGTACCAGGGGCATCTCATGGGGCCCCCTACTGACCTCTGGCCCTTGGGCAGTGCCCGAGTGCTTGAATGATCAGTCCGCCCCTGCTGCATACTCAATAAGTGGTTAAATCAGCTGATGAAAGTACTTACAAACTGAGGGTTTAATGTCACTGTGAAGGATAAGTTCACTTTTTCAACATATATGTTGCAACCATATATAGGGTATACCATATAACATGTCCAGTCCTTCCCCCACCTCCTGTATTCCCCAATACCCGTTGTAACTTTTTTAAAAATTGGCGCACCTGGGCGGACAGAACCCTGGGACGATTTGTGAATGAATGAACTGCAAGTTCCACCATGTCAGATGGACATGTAAGCATGCTAATAGTCCACTCATACTTCTTTCAGCTTTTAAACTAAAAGCCCGTACAGAAGTATGGGCAGAAAGCTGGAGAGAAAGCGAGCAGGAACCTGACATTGAATGCGCAATCTGCTGATTGGTGAAAATCAAGTGGAGATACAGGTAAGTGTGCCTTGCTTAGCTTAGTTGCTGCTGCAACCACATATGCTGGCTGCATCAGCACCGCACTGGAACAGGAGTCAGCAAGTGTCAGTGGGAGAAATAGTGCCCCATCGTTGGTGTCACTGATACCAATGAATGATGGGGCACTATTCCTCCCACTGACACCAATGATGGGGCACTATTCCTCCCACTGACACCAATGATGGGGCACTATTCCTCCCACTGATACCAATGATGGGGCACTATTCCTCCCACTAATACCAATGATGGGGCACTATTCCTCCCACTGACACCAATGATGGGGCACGATTCTTCCCACTGGTGTGCACTGGAGGGGTAGTCTTATACGGCGAGTATAGCCCAAACACTACATTTTAAACAGGAAAAGTAGGGGGTCGTCTTATACGCCGAAAAATACGGTACTTTGCAGGCTCTGGTAGAAAAGAACACATAATAAATGAACATTTCTTACCTGCAGAAGTGTGTGCTTTTTTCATCGTTTTGTTAAAAGTGAACTTAGCCTTTAAGTGGACAAAGAAAGACACTGCCAAGGGAGAGGTCATGGAGGGGAGATATGTTTTTCCACATTTTCTGTTATAAGTCAGAGTTTAAGGATTCTGATTATACCCTAAATTTTACTTTGTATATTGTTACTATAGCTGTAATCAGAGATATAGTGATAGAGTCCCAATGGTTCACACACCCAATTCAACATAGACTATTATATTCATTACTTATGTCAAGGACAAGCTGTTAAATAATGAGATTTTTTGCATTTCAATGACAATTTACTGTACCCCAAGCAAAGTGATCCTGCATATGACAGGCTCCACAAAATGAAACCACATCATTTTATGTTTCAAAAAACATTTCTGAAATGTATACCCCACCATACATTTCACAGACAAACTTAACTCCAAATACTTTCTCCCCAGGAAACACGTCAAGTCTTGGGTGAAGCTATGTAAATGTTGTAGGAAGACCACAAGATACACATGTGACTTCATCTAAAAAAGTATAGATGGCTTTCTGAAGCACCCTGTATGCCCATTTTATATGGGTAGCAGCAGAAGGATAGTGTCAGACCTTATTGTCTTATTTCATTAGGGATACCACCACTATGTGGACAATTTTTATTACAGTGTGTCACTTTTTCAACACAATTTTCTTTAGCATACTGTAGAATGTGTTATATTGTGACCAAATTGCAAAGACTCATCACTACAAATCTGAAAATCTGAAAAAGGAGGAGTAAGCAATTAGCAAGTTTGCAAAACATGAGGAAAAATGATTGCATCGAAATAGGACACGTGAGATGTCTATGTCTGTTTATCCATACATCCAACAAGATACCCCAGTGAAAACTCGGGGGGCTCTGGTCCAAAAACCTCTTTGCTTTCATAAATATAATCTATATATGGAAAGTGTAGATTACAATGACCAGATGTGAAACACTGTCTGGCAAGCTGAAGATATGTTTCCTGGCACATATAGTAAAATTGTCTACTTATTCAACTGGCCTTGTACAATTCATATGTCATCTACAAGTGTTAACATAAACAATCAAAATGGAGTCAGACCATTTCTCATTTATATACGCATACACATATATATCTGTATTTTATTCTGTGTTCCTCTTTATTATGGTTTTTCAGAGACTTGATATGTTCTGAATTTCTTTGGTATTATTTCATAACCTTTGTATCATATCCTGTTATGCTGTTGTTGTTCAGTGGGACAGCTGTGATTTCCTTTTTATTCCGCGAAATGGTTAGTTTGGCGATACTAATCACTTTTACGCAAACAAGTTACAATTTATTAGAACTTGTAACCTTTCTCTTGTCCAGAAAGAGGATTTTAACCAAATGTGTGTTTCAGCAATTAATATATGTCACAATATTGGCATTGTGCCCGTCATTAGAAACTATTGTATAAGAATGATATAAAAAGACATGCTTCTGTATTATTTGCCGTCACTCTGTCCTGTATGCAGCGTGGACCGTATTACATCGTAAATCTGTGCCAGTCAACTTGTTCAGATGAATGCAACCTTCTGGTGTTGATGTCCTTCATTGAAAAGGAATACTTAACATTGGTGTCCCCGAACCGTGTCTTCTTGACTGCATCTCCACCGGATTGCACCCCTCAACAGGAGGGACAGCACAAGCGCCTCAGGTGAGAAACTTTTCTCATTTTTGTTTACTGTCTTTGCTGTGCGGGAGTGAGGTGCCGGGTGGGGATTGCAGCTACAGAAGGTAACACGTTTCCTTGTATATTTACAAATGCATTCTGTCAGTGCATGATTTCTGATACAATTGATAAAAAGAGAGAGAAACTATACAGATAAGGGTACCAAGAGATCCTTTTTCCTTACTGTTTGGAATGACTATATATATATATATATATATATAGCTAAAAATTTCTATTAATGTGCATAAAGAAGCCAAGGAAAGATGGAAAAATCTCCAAAAGCCATCAAATTACAGATTAGACATTCTTATAATATGTCAACAAAAGTTAGATTTTATTTCCATCATTTACACTTTCAAAATAACAGAAAACAAAAAAATGGCGTCTGCAAAAGTTTGGACACCCTGCAGAATTTATAGCATGCACTGCCCCCTTTGCAAAGCTGAGACCTGCCAGTGTCATGGATTGTTCTCAATCATCGTCTGGGAAGACCAGGTGATGTCAATCTCAAAGGTTTTAAATGCCCAGACTCATCTGACCTTGCCCCAACAATCAGCACCATGGGTTCTTCTAAGCAGTTGTCTAGAAAACTGAAACTGAAAATAGTTGACGCTCACAAAGCTGGAGAAGGCTATAAGAAGATAGCAAAGCGTTTTCAGATGTCAATATCCTCTGTTCGGAATGTAATTAAGAAATGGCAGTCATCAGGAACAGTGGAAGTTAAAGCAACATCTAAAAGACCAAGAAAAATTTCAGACAGAACAGCTCGCAGGATTGTGAGAAAAAACAATTCAAAACCCATGTTTGACTGCATGATCCCTCCAGAAAGATCTGGCAGACACTGGAGTTGTGGTACACTATTCCACTATAAAGAGATACTTGTACAAATATGGTCTTCATGGAAGAGTCATCAGAAGAAAACCTCTTCTACGTCCTCACCACAAAAATCATTGTTTGAACTTTGCAAATGAACATATAGACAAGTCTGATGCATTTTGGAAACAAACAAGTTCTGTGGACCGATGAGGTTAAAATTGAACTTTTTGGCCGGAATGAGCAAAGGTACGTGTGGAGAAGAAGGGGCACAGAATTTAATGAAAAGAACCTCTGTCCAACTGTTAAGCATGGGGTTGGATCAATCATGCTTTGGGGTTGTGTTGCAGCCAGTGGCACAGGGAACATCTCACGAGTAGAAGGAAAAATGGATTCAATAAAATTTCAGCAAATTTTGGATGGTAACTTGATGCCATCTTTGAAAAAGCCGAAGTTAAAGAGAGGATGACTTCTACAAATGGATAATGATCCTAAACACACCTCGAAATCCACGGGGGATTACATCAAGAGGCGTAAACTGAAGGTTTTGCCATGTCCTTCACAATCTCCTGACCTCAACATAATTGAAAATCTATGGATAGACCTTAAAAGAGCAGTGCGTGACAGACAGCCCAGAAATCTCAAAGAACTGGAAGACTTTTGTAAGGAAGAATGGGCAAAGATACCTCAAACAAGAATTGAAAGACTCTTGGCTGGCTACAAAAAGCGTTTACAAGCTGTGATACTTGCCAAAGGGGGCAGTACAAGATATTAACTCTGCAGGGTGCCCAAACTTTTGCAGACGCCATTATTTTGTTTTCTGTTATTTTGAAAGTGTAAATGATGGAAATAAATCTAACTTTTGTTGATATATTATAAGAATGTCTAATGTGTAATTTGATGCCTTTTGGAGATTTTTCCATCTTTCCTTGGCTTCTTTATGCACATTAATACAAATTTTTAGCTGGGGTGCCCAAACTTTCGATCCCCACTGTATGTATGTGTGTGTGTGTGTTAAAGGGATGTGTTAAAGCAGGTACCACTATTTCTCAAGGATTGAGAGAATGATAGTGTGAAATACAGGATTTTTTATTTTATTATTGTGTGATTTTTTTTTTTTTTTTTGTGAAACCTGTGGTCCTAGGACAAGTGGTCCTCAGCGGTATAGCCACAGTGAGCATATGACCTGCTGTGTGTTCTTTGGGGTAGGTAGTTGAGTCAGAGACTAGCCTATTGCCACTCAGAGAGGGGACGCCCCTCTGGGTATAGAACAGTGAAATATTGCGCAATATATGTGTTCGGCTGCTGGTATACAGCCGTTGAGTTAAGAATTTGGAACCCTATATCCCAGAGTTTCACATGTTGTCATTCCCAAGCAGTGTAACGAAAATTATAGGAAAAATGGGAAATAGCTTAAACAAAAAGATATTACCAGTAATGAATGATTGTGGATTAACTAAAGAGAAAGCTATACATTTACTAAAAATAAAAGCCGCAAGATTAAAACTTTTCAAATTGTACCCAAGCACCTCCATTGTAAAAATGATGGTGAGTAAAGAACCAAATGCCCTTAAGCACCATCCAAAATGGTGCAAGATAACAAAAAAGAATATAAGGAAGACCCAACTAAATGGTGGCCTCCAGGGGGCTCATTACAGACCCCAAAAATTGATGCACTGTTTAATGTCTGACTGAGGGGGAATTGAATGCTTAGCAGCATGGGAGGAGGTCTCTAGGGAAAACAGTAAATCCTTAGAACCACCTCCTTATAAGTTTTGCTCTGAAAAAGCTACATTACAATTAGAGGAGGAGGAGGAGGATGAATTGCCCAATGCTTGAGCTTCTCCTTATGAAGTTTTGAGGAGGCAACTGGCTGATGCTTCCACTGCAGCTTCAGCCCTAATATTAGATGACACCATGCAAGTAGAACTACCAGGACCCTCTTATATGTCTGGTACCCCCCTAACAATGGAGGAGTTTTCCAAAATGTTTTATAAAACGCCACAAGGGGCAGCAAAAACTAGGTATGAAACTGACCTCAGACATAGTACTTGAACCTTATTCCAGCATGAGGGAGAATAATGGGAATACACTCCACCCAAAGCAGGAGTAAGATTAGCAAAGTTTACTAAAATAAGTAGGCCTAAGCCCCCTTCCACAAGAT